CGCAGTGCCAGAGCCAGCGCAGGCCAGAGACAAGCCCCGCCAGGCTGCGGGGCAGGATTAACATTTCCCAGCGGATGCTCCCCGCGTCTCCCCCTCCCCTCCTCCCTGGGGTCCTGTCTCCCTGGGGAAACGTGGATGTTCATTCTCCGCTTTCCGCCTCCTCCCCAGAAGGACCCCATCCCCTGGCGTGCGGCGTCCCCCCACGTCTCATTTAGCACGGCTAAATGGCCAGCCCAGAGGTGCGGGGCGGGAGGGGCCGGGTAATGAACTCCCCTTGGCTTCCTCCGCGAGATCACTGCCTTAATTTACGAGGCCTGAGTGAGTCTCATTTCCCCAGTGCGCGTTGAGTAATTAACTATTAATAAAAGCATTACTGAGTTAACCACGGGGGCATGTTTAATTCATGGGGCAGCCCTGGAACAGGACGGGGAGGCTTTGGCTCAGTGGGAGATTCCTCCTGGAGCAAAATGTTGCCAGCGGGGAGGCTGCCCCCGGCCAGACCCTCGGGGCCCTGCGGGGAAGGTTCTTCCGCCCCTAAGCAGAGGGGCCTGATCTCAGGAGGGGAGCGAGAAGGCCTGGCATCCGAACCGGAGGCTGCAGAGAGGAAGTGAGGAGGGCCCAGGCTTGGGAGGTGTGCGACCACCCTGGCTTGGGAGGCTCCGCGCTCCAGCCTGGAGCAGAGGTGAGTGACCTGGGCCAGTCACACAGCTCCAGCCTGTTTCTTGCCTGCAGAGTAGGGCGCCTGACAACCCTGACCTTCCAGAGGAAAAGGACGTCAGGGATGAGGGAGGATGTGGTCTTCCCCTGTATGGAATTATCTTTAGGGCCCCTCCCCCACCCAGAGGCCCAGATCTTTGTTGGCTATCGGTGGGGGGAAGGGAGGCCCTGCTTGTTCTAGAGCAACCTGGTGGAAGAGCTGTGGTCAGGACACGTGCCGGAGGTCTGAGGGCCCCGCATCTTACCCATGTGCTCTCCGCGCAGCTGAGGGGAACCGATGTCTAGGGCTCAGACCCCCGTCTTCTGCTCACTCACACCTCTGTGCCTTTGCACCTGCTCTTCCCTGCCTGGTAGGCTTGTCTCCTTTTGTCTGCTTGGCAGCTCCCGCTCAGCCTTCAGGACTCCGTTCAAGGCATCAGCTCCTCCTGGGAATCTTTGCTCTCTTTCTGCCCCAAGTGAAATTGGCTGCTCCATTTTCTTGCCTCTCGTACATATTTCTATTAGAGCATCTATCTATTCACCTGCCCATCTGCCCACCCACCCTTCCATTCACATTTATGGGGCACCTCTAGTGTGCATCTAATCATATTGTTTTGTAGTTTTGGATAAATGTGTTTTTCTTTAAAGCAGTAACTCTTCATCTTTTTGGGGGGTCAAGGAGGCAGCCCCCAGCTGTCAGCCCTCTCCGGACACGTCTCCTTTGGAAGAAACCACCTCATCGAAAGTCACGCCTCCTTCCAGGGAGAGGCCCACTTCCAACGGCAAAGGCCTGAGCCTCTTGCCCCAACTCGGGACAACTCTGAAGGTCAGCCAGCTCCAGATTTCCCTGTGGGGTTGACCAAGGCCTCCGTGGAGACAGCTCGCATCCCCTGCCGAAACCTGATCTCCATCTCCGAGCTTTCTTCCCGGGATGAGAAGCCAGGCCCACGTTCCTGGAGGACAGCGAAGGCCTCTTGGGGGCCCCTTTGTCTCCAGCAGCTCTCACTGCCCCAAGTGAAATTGGACATGGCGTAGGTGCTGCAGAGACACTTACTGGATGCTGTTCTCGGCTCTGTCCTCTGCTGACCCAGCAGGTGAGCTCTCATCAGATGCGGAGGAGAAGGGACAGACCCACCAGCAGCTGTCAGCAGGACCAGGGCTGGGGGCCAGTATCTGGGAAATGTACGAACTGCACCAAAACTCTGAATAACCATGGGAACAGAAATCCGGCTAATTGGTTACTACAAAGTGGGGGCAAAGGAGCCTGGCTGATGTCAGGCCTGTGCGGTGAGGGTGACGGCTCAGAGGATGGGAGGCCAGCAGGGAGGCTGGCCTGGGGGTGTGGTGTTGGGAGCGGGGAACAGCCTCCCTTACAGGGCAAGTCATTTCAAAGTTAGACTGGTTCCCAGAATCTGCACAATCCCCACTTCGGTTTCCACTATTGGAAATTGCTTCACAGAACAAATTACGTCAGGCAATGTAGAGGGAGGCCTCCTCTACAATGGAGGCCTCGAAGGCCAGGGCTCCTGCCCACCCCTCCCCTCTGGCTTTGCCACCTGCCCGAGGTAAGCTCCACCCTCCTGGCTGAGGCTGCTGGGTGCTGATCGCGATGTGCCTGGCACGGTGAGGTGGTTTTTCCATCATCACGACAGCTTCATGAGGAGAAGGATACAATTTCTTCGCAGATAAGAAGACAGAGGCAGAGGGGGACCAGCAGCTTGCTCAAGCCCACCCAGCCCATCACAGGGCAGAGGGGTGTGGCCCGGGGTCGGGAGGGGTCCCAGGGCTGTGTCCTCTGCCGAGATCACACTCCGGGGGCTTCGGGTTACGGCCATGGAATAGGTGGGCACACGCGACCGTGCTGGGTTGTTAGGGATTCAACAGGCTGTGCCAGGAGGCCAAGAGGGGGCCCAGCAGAAGGCCATGGTGTTCTCCCGTTACCCTCATCCACGACTTCCTGGGCTGGGAGGAGGGAGGAACGCATGCCAGCCCTCCAAGGCCCAGCGTGGCTCCCCGAGTCCAGCGCAGAGCATGGCATGCAGTCAGCACGCCCTGAAGGCTGCTGCCCCCAACGACGGCCTGGGAGTCCTACCCTCACTTCTCTGGACTGCAAGCCGGGGACCCAGCTCTGTCCATCGTTAGTTCCGACGCAGAAAGCCGTAGCAAGTCCCACCAAGAGAATCTTCTGGCGCCATGTAACCCTATTCGCAAGCCACAGGGGTTCAAGTTTTGCTCAGCAGAATGGAGAGAACAGATGGAGGTAATCCCCTGAGCCCTCGGGGCCGAGAAGGTACCAGAATGAAGATGAAGGTATTCCAAGGCCTGCTGACGTCTCTCCCATGGGCAGAGTCCAGCTCATTCTCATCCCTACCACGACCCCAACTGCAGACATCCTCTATATTGGGGGCATTCACCTTCCTTCTCTGTGGGCCCCTGGGAGAGGCAGTGGGCATGTAAGCACTTAAAATTGGAACCTACAGGTCAGCCCCTGCTGCCTCCTCCCTCTGCAGAAGGCCCTGGGCTGGAGGCTTTTGGGGACAGACACCACAGCCTTGGAGAGACAAGTCACATCCTCGGCTTCGCTCAACCTGTGCGAGCGCCGAGTTGCCATGGCGACACTGCAACCCTGAGATGCAATGGCTGCAGACGGCATGGGCGCGTCTAGGGCTCCAAACCGAGGGGTGGACGCTGTCTGGCCTGTGAGGCCAGGCGACTGGGAGGGCCGGGTGGGGGAGCAGGAGAGGGAGCCCTCCTCTAGGCTCAGCTGGTAATTGCCACTAAGTGAGGGGCTGTCATTGAACCCAACATGCGGGCCACGAGGGCCCCTCTCTGCACCCTGTAATTACTGCACCAGAGGCACTGGCTCCCTGCGCGGGAGAGGGGGGCGCTGGGGGAGCAGACAGGAAGCTCTCATCCACCTGAGCCAGCGGGGCCCTGGCAGGCTCTCCTGCTGCCGACCCAGCATCCTGCATCCCAAGCAGCCTCTCTGGCAGAGGCAGGCCCCCCCCCTTTCACAAGCCCCCCTTGTCATCTAGTGTGGAGCTTCAGCTCCCTTTGATCCTGGCCTCGAGGCTCACAGAATCCAAGGTGGAGGGTGCCGGGGTGAATGGCAGAGGTGCAGGAGCCCGATCAGGCAGCAACTCAGGGGCGCCTTTGGCATCACCCCTCCGTGTGGAGTCTGCGTGTGGTGAAGCTGCACCGGAGGCAGGACACCTAGGTTCTGGTCCTCCTGAGCCTGGGGGCTGAGGCTAGCCAGGCCCCCTCCTGGGCCTCAGTTTCCCTTGCTGTACGGCTGGAAGTTGGAGTCCAACATTTGCAGGCAGCCTTCACCGTGGCCCTGGCTGACTACCAGGTGAATCCTGTTCTTGTACCAAAGCTTTCCCTGGGAGGCAGCAGGCCCTCGTGTCCCCACCGGCGCGCTGTGGCAGTGCCCTGCACGGCCGTGACGGGAAAACTGCAGGGGCCCCCAAACTGAAAACATTTACTCTCTGGCCCGTCTCAGAAAGTTTGCTGCCCCTTTTCTAAAGTATTAACATTCTCCCAGGCGGAACGGAGCTGTCGTGGCGCCAGGCTGGCCGGGAGTCACCGGGAGCCCCAGCCCGGCCTGGCCCACAGGCACCACGGGGGCTTCCAGGGCCCCCAGCCAGGACTGCCGGAGCCGGGCGGGCGGGCTGCAGGGCGGTGCGATGGCGCCACCTGCTGTGAAGGCCTGGAAACACTCCTGCTGGGAGGGCCCGGCCCGCCCGGCCAGCAGCTCCCCCGCCAGGCCCACCTGGGAACCCGGCGCGTCAGAGGCTGATGAATGCGGTCTAGGGGCGCCGCGGGACCAAGCCAAGGTACCGGGGCGGGAGGCTCAGGTCCCAGAGGCCATCCACGCGGCCGCCTCTGCGCCACACCCCTGGCCTTGACACCTAGCTCGTTCAGCAGTCCTGCTTCCGTGGTTGTTGGAAGCATTTCCAGAACACCTAGCGTTCAAGCCGCTACCGACACTACCTCACTCTTCAGGACAGATCTCAATGATCTTGACGTGACGTGAAAACGGGTAGGAGGATGATTTGCTTGAGGTCACTCAGCGGGTGAAGGATTCGAACACGGGCTGTGAAAGCACCGCGGTCCCCAGGACAGGTACTCGGTATGAATTCCTTTCCTGCTGCAGGTGTGGCGGGGCCAAGAGGGGTCACGGGGACTCAAGCAGGAACACCTGAGACTGGGGAGCCCTGGGGCGGCCCAGCCATTGGCAGGCGGCCCCATGCAGGGAAAAACGGGGAGAGGCCAGGCCCATACGGCCTCGCTGCCCCCACACCTCCAGGCAACAGCAGGTGACCAGCAGACTGGAAACTCTTTATTTCCAAACTATAAATAGATCTGTTCTCCCAGAAAGCCGCTCTCCAGGTGACGAGGCCCCAGCCTCTCCAGCAACCGTTCCGACTGCTCTGCAGTTCCAAGCCCCGCCCTCCGAAGCCCTTTATAAAATCACAGTCACAAGCTTCGGGATCTGACCAGCAGTTGAAAACAGCCCCCTCCTCCCACTGGGACGCAGGCCAGCTCCGGTCAGGTCCGAGGCTGGCCAGGTGCTCCGCTTGACGAGCTTCTGACCCAGCCCTGACGAGCGAGGCGGCGTGTCGTCAGAGGTCCAGCCCGCGTGCCTCCTGGCCTCGGCTGCCCAGCTGCTCTGAGGAGTCTCCTGGGCCCACGAGCCGCCGTCCAGTGTGAGGGCCAGAAGCGCCTGCGGCCCGACGGGTCCCCGGCCAGTCACTGCGGCCCCTGCGCTGTGAAGTACTCCTCCTCCTCCTCATTGTCCTCCTCCTCCTGCTGGCTGCCCCGGAGCAGCAGCTCCAGGTCGGGGTTGGAGCCCAGCCCCTTCAAGGGTTTAGGGCCTCCATCACCTGGGGACAGAGAGATCAGTCACAGACCTGCCGTGCACCCTGCCCTGAGTCTGCACTGACTAACGCAGGACCCACCACCCACTCCCCAGAGACGACCCCACGGCTTCTCGGAAGAGGCAGGGGCACAACCACGAAGCTTATTTATTTCCCGAATTAGAGGAACACCCAGCGCGGAGGCGGCGAGCAATGCAGACAGCCACCAGGCTGGGTCTGCTTTGGGGAAGTCAGGAGCCACCTGCCTCTTCCTGGCAGGGCTAAGCTGAGGGGCAATGAGAGGGCCGAAGGGTCCCGGGGAGAATTCATCAGAAATCAGGCTTCTGGAAAGGGCTGGGGTTACCTCTGGAGTGCAGGGCTTTGAGGGCCACATGCAGGGAGATGCCTGAGAGGCAGAGAGCGAAGCCCAGCCAGTTCACGAGGCTGATCTGATCTCCCAGAAGATGAGCTGCCAGCAGCAGAGTGCAAACTTCCTGCAGGCAGAGGCAGGAAGGAGAAGTGGTCAGTAGGAGCTGGGTCCTTGGCCAGGGGTGTGGAGGGCAGGGGAAGCAGGCACTCCCACGGGATAGTCAGATCCCCAAAACTCGCGGAACCAGGGCAGGGCAGGGCAGGCTGGCCTACAGAGCAGAGGAAGGTTGCCATGAGCTTGGAGGACCAGGTCTGCCTGCAACATCTGCAGAAGTCTGTCAGAGATAGGGCAGAGGACATGGGTGTCCAGTCCACTGCCATGCCCATGGCTGCCCTTCCAGAAGACACCTACAGATAGAGCCCATAGCTGCATGGGAGAATGCAGTGTCACACAGGGCTTGGCAGAATACACTGCTCAAATGAGACCAGGGAGTTCAGCTTAGCCTCACCACGTGGATGGCAGCTGGTCTCCCCACGGGGAGACCCGTATCTCTGGTGTAGTCACTGCTGAGTATTGGTGTCTGCCTGATCAAGGGAAAAACTCCCTCCATGGCCCTGAGCCCCTGCTCAGGAGTGAGAGCTGCCAGGGGAGGGAAGGGGAGCTGGGTCACTGGGCAGCAAGAAAGGCAAAGTCAGCACTCGTGAACAACTAACCCTTGCTGTGTTGTTGGCAGACATTGCCAATCAATCCCTGAACAATTTTTTTTTTTTAAAGATTTACTTATTTTTATACAAGCACTGGGTACAGTCAGAAGCGCGGGAGGGTGAGAAAATCCGCCAGAGCCAGAGCAGGGAACAGAACAGGCAGACTGACGAAATACACTGCTGAGGGGAGCAGCGGGCAAGGCAGGAGAGGTCTGTCGCACCATGTGGGACCCCTGCCGGTGGTCAGGGATTGAACCAGCACTGCAGAGGCTGCAGGCAGCTTCGCAGCCCAGCGCTCAACCGCTGCACCACCAGGGAGGCCCCAATCCCTGAACTCTTTACTGAGAAGTTTGGATGGCAGCTTCTCAACCCCTAGTGCCAGGTCATTGCCAAATGACCAGAGTAGGAATTTGAATAAAAATGTAAATGCATCCCAAGCCTACTGGAGTCAAGTTTGGCTGTGCATCCCTACTCGGCAGCTCCTAGCTTCATGTGTTTCCCCTGCTGTGAAACGGGGACGACTGTCCCCACCTCACAGGGCTGCAGTGATGATGGGAAGAAGCACAGAGGGACATCCGGCACCCCCTCCCCTCCTTCTCTGCAGGGCCCTAGGGTACAGGAGTTGGGTGGGAGTTGCTGTTGAAAAGAGCCTTTGGGGGCTCCCCGCCAATATAGGTCCTGGGTGACCGCTGAGCCTGTACCTTAAAAATGCCGGCAATGGAGAGAGTGAGGCTGGAGGTCCTGGAGACCAGGAGGAACTCTGAGAAGCCCAGACCAAAGGCGAGAATCCCACCAAGGAAGAGGCTGCCGAGCACTCGCAGGAGCAGCCCCGGGTCCTGGGAACGGAAGATTTTCTCAGAGGTGGATAAATGGAGACCTGAAAGCAAGCAGGGGGGAAGCGGGAGGCCACGTCCAGGGGGCCAGCCAGGCAGCCTCACCCAGCCCTCAGCCAGTGGGGTCTGCCAGCCGTGCTGCTGCTTCCTGAGCACCTGCTGACTGAGGCCCAGAAAGAGGCCTGAGGTCGAAGGGAACCCCACACAGCTGGCCTAGCATGTGGGGAGAGGGGAGAGCGGTGGCCGGAGAGCCTGACCGGAAGTGGGGGTCGCTGAGCCTCTAGGCCAAAGCCGAGGGGAGGAGACTTCGGAGAACTACAAGGGCAGCTGCCCCCTTCAGGCAGTCTTTACCCCCACTGCCACCCCCGAATCCAGTGGCCTTTGCAGTATATAACTAGTGGGCCAAGGAGAGGGGGCAGCCCGCCTGTGAGGACTGTCAACACCCTGGCCCCCTGGGAAAGGTGCCTGTTCTAAATGTCAGGTGGGCCACGCCATCCTTGCAAACCCCCATTTTAATCCAGGTCTTGCCATTCCACAGCTCTGGGACTTGGCCAAGGTGTGTCCCCTCACTGGAACACAGTGTCCCCCACTGACCAAATAACAGTGCTGGGACTAGACCAGTGTTTCTCAAACAGTCTGCTTTGACAAGCAGTTCTCACGATGCAGCACACATCCGCAGACACACAGCAGAAACCGTGGTCCCCGTCCCAGAGACACCCACACAGGCATCCACGCACCAAATTCTGCTGAGATTTTCAGAGCATTCTCGGCCCTCCCACGCTGCCCCCCCCCCCCCCGGGGAGCAGCCCTCCCTGCAGGGAAGGCCCTGGGTATATTAGCAGGGTGTCAAGGTGAGCCCCAAACTAAGCACGCTGAGGCTGGCCGAGTCTTTGAGATTTTTTGGAGGGAAGCACCAAAGAAATGCAGAGTGACAGCCCCCCACCCCCACCCCCACCCCGGCAAAGCGCCTCCCGATGTGGGGCATCTTGTCTGGTGCCAGGCTCAGCAGTGCTGCAAAGGCATCGGCAAATTGAAGGGAATTCGGGGAAGAGCAACGTAAGTAATGGAGGCGCTTGGGGGATTAATTTACCAGAAAAGATTAAAGGAGCTAAATCCATGCAGCTTTGCTAAGTGACGGCTACCAGGGGCTTTCGGATGAGGCTTTGCAGAGCTGGGAAATGGTGTAAACACCCAGGAAGGGAGTGTGGCGTTTGGTACAGGGGGCATAATGAAGGAATGGGGAGAGATTTGTAAAAAGGAAAAAAAATGAGGCTGAGGAACAGAAGTTTCCTGGACAACGGAGCTGCAGAATGATTTTCTCAGAAAGGTTCGAGACGCTTCACTGCTTGAAACTTAAATGGATGTGGGACAGAAGCCTCTGTAATGACCCGGAGGCCAGAAGGGACTCTGGAGGAAGGATAAGCAGATGGGGGGGGAGGTGGCGCTGCTCCTCCAGCTCCCTCCCTCCCTCTTCCCTGGGAGATGACAGCGGAGGGGACCCGCTCACCTGCCCAGACCCTGTGCACCCCACGCCGCCCAGACGTGCACCCCAGCCTGGCCCCTGTATCCTGCTTCTTCACCCGCAAAGCAGGGCGCGGTGTGGGGAGGATGAAAATGAGACAGTTGCTTTAAAGGCTGAGGACAGCCCCGCGCACCGGTCGAGCTGTCATCAGGGCCCAGGGTGTTCACTCCCCCTTCCAGGTAGCACTTATCATGCTGGGCTCTAGAGTTTATTTTGAGTGTCCAGCGCCCAAAGCAGGCTGGGGAGGGACTGCACCTTTTATCTCTGCAACCTCCACGGCTACCATGGCGCTGGCTCAGAGCAGGGACCGGGGAGCTGGTACAGCTACATGCCCCCAGGTACACAACCCGACGTACCTTCAAATATGGCAAAGAGAGGGAAGAGTCCCAGGAACATGAGTGGCTGCAGGTGGAACATGGTGTCGATGGGGTTATGGAGCCCTGCAGGTGGGGACGCAGGACGTCAGGACTGGCCTGGCCACCCCCACCCAGCCCGGCAGCCAGACCCTCTCTCACCGAGTTCAGGCTTCTGCAGGAGCATCTGGGTGAGGGTCCAGCGAATGCCGCCGATGAACGAGGCCCCCAGCACCAAGGCGAAGCCCTCGATGTTGAACTGCGTGGACTTATAGGTGAACATGAAGAGGCCCCCCGCGATGAGCAGCACCACCAGCACAAGCGCCGCACGCTATTGGGATGGGGAGCAGTTACACAGGAGGTGGGGGTTTGGGGGGTTGAGTTCATCATACCTGGAGTCTGGGGATCAACAACTATCTTGGCTGCCCCTACACCAAGTCCCCTTCCCCTCCCTCACCACCCCAAGGGGTGAGCCTGGCTGGCTCCACCCCCCACCTATGTAGGACCCACGTGCTTTCCTAGGCCTTCCAAAGTCCCCAAGTGCCCACACCCACTCCCCCAGCAAACAAAGGGCTAGTGTCTCATGCTCGGAGGAGCCTCCAGGTCCAGCTGGACCTGGCCCCCTCATCCTCGGTTCCCTCCCCCTTGGGTCTTTACCCCGCCCCCCAGTGCCCTGAGTCTGGGTCCTGCCTCAGACATGGGGGTCACTGCACCAGGCTGGGCTTGTCTGCTCTGTCATACTCAGACGTAAGCCACTGCTCGGATTCCCCTTTTTATTATTAGCATCTGTGGGAGCAGGAGGGACGAAAGGGAAAAGCACGTGGAGGGGCCTCACCAGCTCTTCCAGTTTGAAGATCAGAGAGAAGATCAGGATGAAAAGCACGGCTGAGGATTTGGTCATTGTGTACCTGGAAGCAAAGATTACTAACCACAATGCACTGCCGCCGCCCAGACCCCAAATCAAGAAAGGCGCCCTTGGCACCATCAGCGAGCTGGAGAAGCGGGGAGCCCGAGGACACCTCGGGGCAGCAGAGGCTTCTGGTACAAAGATCAGAGAGGGCGTGCTGAGTTGCTGACACGTGACCTTTAGTGGAAGGCATCTCTGACTAAGAGGCCTCCGATGAGCACCAGGGGGAAAGACTCGGGCCTGACACTGAGCTCACAGAGTCCTATTATTTATCTACCCCTCGGGGTAGAATAAGGATGGAGAGCAGGATAAAGATGGCAGGATGAGGGAAAAGGAGGCCAGGATTGTGCTCTCCGAAGCACAAAATCAGCTAAGGACGAGATCCTGCTTGCCCCAGCGCGGTGCCCCCTCTTCATCTGCCAGGTTGAGGGAGCCCGGGCGTTGGCAGGTGGGCACGCCCCTGCCCAGCTTACAGAAGAGGCGGGACTTCCAGATTGCTGCTGGGCGCCAGGAGGAGCTGAGAGCAAGGGCTGGTCCCAGCAGGCGCTGGCCGCTGTGGGCTGGCCAGCGCGCCTGGGCCTGAAGGGGGTGGTGTGTGGCCGGTACTCACAGTGAGACGGTGATGTAGAGGAAGCTCCAGTTGGACAAGCCCACGTCAAGTGCTGTTGCCAGCGCTGTGGACACAAGGGCAGTATAGGTGCGCCTGCCGAGACAGTCCCCGACGCACCCAGGGTGCCTGCAGGCCTGCTCCTTCCCCGGGCCTTCCTTTCTACCCAGCAACTGAAGGGTCATCCCTGGCCAGCAAAGGGCAGTGTTGTCTCCAGCAGCAGCGCCCAGTCCATCAAGACTGACTGGGGCCTGCGTTAAATATTTTGAATGCGCACCCCCCACCCACCGTGAGGGCTGTGTCTGGTCCTGCCAACCCCCCGGGGAAACTCCCAGCTCCTCGGGATAAACTCACGCGGCCTCCACCACTGACCCCTGCCAGTCTCTCATTTCTCCCACTGGCTCTCACCAATGCCCAGTCTTCCACATGCTGAGACCCTTTCAGCTCCCTTTCAGGCCTCCACATACACTCAGTGTCTCCTAGGACGGCCAGACCCTCACCCTCCGGGGCGCCCCTCGCCCGGGCCATCGGGGGCTCCCCCTCTCCACGGGCGCCCACCGCAGCTCGTGAGCACAAGGGCTGCTCTGCTCACCGCTGCCTCCAGGCCTGAGACGTGGCCCAGCCTAGATGTTCGAGGCCTGATCACGGCCAAGGGCACTACTGAGGCCAGGGCTGCGCCCAGGGTTTTTTCTGGGCGTGCGCGGGGGTGGAGGAAGTGGGCAGAGGAGAGCACATAAGCGGCACAGGCGGCGGCGGGGAGAGGCCGGCGGAGAGGACGGGGCCAGGGCTAAGCCCCGAGCCACCAAGGCTTCTTACACTCCTGGCTCGACCTTCCGACGAGGCCTGATGTTCCCTGGGGCCGCCCCCAACACACACCTGTCGGGGCGACTTTTCTGAGGTAGTCGGTCCAGCTGAGCACCACGCGGGCCCTGTGGCTGGAGCACTGCACGAGCGCCCGGGACAGGGCGGAGAACAGGAAGATCACGGCCAGGTGCAGCATCGTCATGAACAGGGGGAAGTGGAAGCTCTGCACAGAGGGAGCCCATGGCAGCCGGCCCCCCGCGCCCACAGCCCTGGCTCCCCCTCCCCGCCTCGGCTCATGTGACACAGGCTCACATAACAACCTCCTGAGAGGACAGGCTATTCGTCCCGATGGGGGATGTCACCCCAGAGCATCCCGCAGGCCTGGAGCTGCCTGCTCCGCCCTGCCCCGCCCTACACCCAGGAGCTAGCAGCGAGGGCCACGCGCTGGGCCAACCATTAAACTGTGGAAATATTTCTCTACCTGCCCAGGTTTCCCCTCACCCTCCATGCCTCCCTCTCACCCAAACATGCAGGGGGACCCCTGGTGGGGCTGCCAGGGTCCGCTCCACCGCCAGCGTGACCAGGGGCCCGTGCGAGCGGCTGCAGCCTGTGCCTTCGCTGTGCTGTTAGGGGGCGTGACCGCCATGGCTTCAGCCACCTCCCTGGCCGCCGGGTCTCCAAGTTACCTTCGTCAGCCATTTGTTGTAGAAGGTGATGCCGATGGAGAAGCAGTAGTAGAGCAGGACCAGCCCCAGAGTGAGCACCGCCTTCCACACGAAGGCCACGTCGAAGGCCCACCTCCCCATCCGTGGAGCTGCTGCAGCACCTGCTCTGGTCAGTCAGGCCAGGCACTCCTCCTGAAGACAGCCCGCGGCCTTCAGCAAGTACGTCTCCTGGCTAGAGGAGTTCTCTTCGCTTCCATGATGGACCAGTTGTGGGAGCCTGCGGAGTCCTCACCCAAGGGGCTGGTGGCCCGAGCTCACGCCTCCCATGGTCAACTGGCTGCAGGCCACACAGGTCCCCAGGTCTAACCTGGAAGGTGGGAAAGGCAGTTGGGGTGGCTCAGCAGAAGAGAGGTAGCCCCCACCCACCCCAGGCCCACCCCGAGGATGCATCAGAGCAGATGCCACAACAGGAGGAGGCCCACATCCTTGCCTCAAGCTTTTCTCCAAGGATTGCCAAGTGACCGTTTAAAAGTGGATCCCACCAGGCCACTGCTTAAAGCACTTGAGGGGCTTCCACAGTGCTGATGCCCATGGAACCCTTCCTGTAGCCAACAAGGCCTGATCAGGGCCCCGGGTCTCTCCTGCCTCCGCTCTGGGGTCTCTGAGTTCCAGTCCCACCCTTCAGAACCGCCCCACCCCATACAGAGAGACACCAGGCTCTGTCCTGGGGCCTATAGGAGCCAAAGGCTTGCCCACCTCCATTCCTCTCTCAGTTGATCCTACAGCCCAAATCCCTTGATGGACACCCTGGGATACAGGCTCTCCTACTTCCCCTTCACTGCACGTGTGCAGGGTGTGATGATGTGGGTGGCGGGTGGTTCCCGGGTGCGGTGGTGAGCTCCCCCATGGCCACGGTAGCTGCCCACCGGGCACAATGCAGTTCTCCACGTGGTCTAAAGACTCAATGTCAGGCAGCAGTGTGGGGAGTGACTTTGGGGAGCTAATTAAGGCATTAAAAACAGGCCAGGAAATCAATGCCTGCCTTACCTCTCACTGCTGCTCCTCCATAGGCAGTGCCAGCCTCAGGGTCTTGCCAGACAAAACCACTCCCTGCCTCCTTATCAACCCAGCTTAGCCCGAAGAGTGGGGAGCCAGGGGAGTAGACTGACCCCTTCTCACCCAGCTGCCATTCTCTGTGTGTGTGTGTGTGTGTGTGTGTGTATATGTGTCCCCACCCCTGGGGACTTCACACCCTGCCGAAATGCCCCTCCCTCTTCTGGAAGCCTTCCTGGATCCCTCTGAGCAGACAGCCTTCCTGAAGGGAGTGATAACATTCCGTTGTGTACTCTGGAACTGGGTTGGATTTGTCCAACCCCCAAGACAAACTGGGAGCTGGCACAAACCTTGCCCAAAGGTCAATCACCCGAGGGCTATGTTCTCTTCAAGGGACCTTGAGAAACACCCGGGGCCTAGGAAGAGGCAGGCCACGTAACTGAGACTTGCTCCACGTCCCTGCAGCTGGGACAGCTGACCAGACCAGGCCACATCACTCTGCTGGGTTTTCTTCTGGTCTTTCTGGATTCCTTTTTGGTCTTTTGTTGGCTCCTCCTTATTAACCCAGCCCCCAGGCCCCCAGGGTTGGAGCTTGGCCTCTCGATCTTAACCCTCACCTTGAGTAACAACTCATCCCATCCAGGCCTCCTCAGTTCTTCCATTAGCCCTACCCTGTTACTCCAGCGCCAGACTCGCCACCTGCCTGCCTATTTGGTAGCTCAACTCCAGAGAAGTAAAACCGAGGGTGCCCGCGCAGGATTCCTGAATCATGCCCCCAATCAAGCCCCAAGTCCCTTGCTAGAAAGCACCAGCAAAAATAAGCTTGAACCCCCAAATCAGTGAGGAAGTCGCCACGCCTCCCCGCCCGCCTGTCAGGCCCACTGGACACTCCCCACCGCTCTGCGCGCACCCCACCCGCGTGCACCCCCCGCTGCGGACGGCCACAGCCTCCTGCCTGGATCCTTGCTTCCTCTTCTCCCCTGCCGCCTGGGGTCCCCGAAGCAGCTGGGAGAGCGCAACCCCAGAAAGCTGCCCGGCCGGCCCGGGCTGAGCCCCTCCCCGGCAGGCCCCCCGGGAAGCCTCGCGCCATCTGGGGCCCGGCCCCGCCACGCCGGCCCCGGCTGCGCGCCAAACCCGGCGAGCCGCGGCCGCCGCCACGTCCCCGCGCCCCGGCCCCGCCCCCGCATCCTCCGGGCCCCGCATCCTCCGGGCCCCCCATCCTCCGGGCCCCCCATCCTCCCGGCCCCACCATCCTCCGGGCCCCCCATCCTCCCGGCCCCCTCATCCTCCGGCCCCTCCCACCCCTGACGTCGCCCGGCTCGCTCCGGGCCGCGCCGCGCGGGGCGCCCGCCAGGAGAGCGCGCGGGGCGACCCCCAGGCGGGGCCCCCAGGCCGGACCCCCCCCCCGCGCGCCCACTCACCTCCGCGCGGGCGCCCGGCCGGCCCAGCTGGCGGAAGTGCCGGGCCGGGGGGGGCACTTCCGCCGGAAGCGCCGCGGCCTCCCCGGCGGCCCCGCAGCGCGCCCGCCCCGGGGGTGTGGCCGGCGGGGCGCGCCGCTTCGGAGTCGGGCGGGCTCAGCTTCTGCGCCGGTGTCCGCCCCGGGCGGGGCGGGGCGGGGCCGGGCGGCCGCGGGGAGCCCCCGGGCGCGTCTCCGGGGCTGCTCCTCCCGAGCGAGCGGACGCCCCCGGGGCGCGCGGGGCCCGCGGCCGGGCGGGGAGCTCGGGGCGGCTGAGCCGGGGCTGCGGCGGCGACTTCTCGGAACGGCCCCGCCGGCAGGAAATAGCAGGGAGCGAGAAGAGGCGCCAGCCTCCCTTGGGATCCAGGCGTTTGTAGGGAGAACAGAAACTCTAGTGGGGAAGCAGCCAGGGCCAGGGCGGTGGTCCCCACAGCGCCAGCGAGGGAGTTTAGAAGGTGCAGGACAGTGAAAGAGGCAGAGCCTGGGACAGGAGCCCCCCTGGGTGGCAGGACAGGTGAGGCTGCGCGGGGGCTGTCCGCCCTCCTCCAGCCCCGCCTGAGCGCTGGCCGGGAGGCAGGGGGCCTTGCAGCGCCGAAGGCCCAAGGCCAGGGTGTAAGCAGAGCACGACACAAACCCTGGTTCTCCCCCCCCCCACCAGCTGGCGTCACGTGGGCGCTAGTTTTTTGGGCACTTACCTCTCACCTACAGTGACACCCATCACTGCCCAAGGTCCTGGCTCTCTTCAGTACCCAAGGCCTGTGCTACACGCACTTTCTGAGCCGGCTTGTCCTTGGCCCCTTCTCTCAGAGGCATCTATTTTCATCACCACACTCATTCAAGCCTCCCAGCTACTCAGGCTGACGTTTGGAGCAACAGCCTAAACACCAGCTGGAAGGCTGGGCACTAAGCACTGGCAGCACACAGGTGAAGACGGTGTCTTCCTTGTAAGCACAGGACACGAGCTGTTCCCTGGCGGTGTCCCTGGCAGGGAGCAGAGGACGTGTTCCTGGGGATGTCTGGTACGCCTTTCCCGCGTGCCCAGCGGGCCTGACCAGAAAACACTCACTCCTATGGACAGTCTGTGAGCATCCTTCCCTGGCGGGGGTGTGGTGGGGACAGGGGCTTTGAAGGCGCTTAGAAGGGGGGCTGAGGGCTCCAGTTGCTGAGGCAAAGTGGAAGCCCCTGGGCAGACAGAGAAACAGCTGTGAACAGGAACCCGTCTACATGAAAGAGTATTTATTGAAAACATGGTTACTGACAGGAAGCTCCTGGCTAGTCTTAGATTATAATCTTGGCTCACAATTGGAAGTGTTACCATCTTTTCATAGTTTTTTTTTGTGAGGGGAGAGGGCTCCAAGTTTATTTCCCCTTAAACAGTCCATCCTAGGACAGGCAGATCTTATATAAATATATATACAGGTCTGGAAGTATGGCCTATAGTAGAGAAAATATATAGCACACTCTTCGCCGGGCAGCACCGACCATGCCGGCCACCAACACTGGGTGCCACGCGGTGGTCTGTCCGAGGAGAGAGGCCGCGGGTAGCGGCACCAGGGAAACCTCAGCCAGCTCCCTGAAATCATGGCCAGTGGCAGAAACCCCAAGGCCAAAGGATGCGAACTGCAGGGGCTACAATTCAGGTCCGGTGGGAGGTTCTCCCCAAGGAAGGAAGAGACATCAGTGTGTGGCGGAGCAGAGGAATCCAGGGTCTCACCACAGGCCTCATCTGGCCTCTGCCAGCAGAGTTCTTGAGCCTAAGAGGGCAGGACTTAGCCCGCAGGTCTTTGACTTGCAGGGCAATGTAAGAGCTTGTTGGCAGATGTTTCCATCAGACCCACAGCTGCGCAGACAAGCCAGGTCTGGTGGGTCTTGAGACCAGAGCTGAGAGAGCCACACTCAGCAGCATCTGGCACTGTGCGAGGCCACAGTGAGCCCTCACAAAGACAACAAACGCAAGATGAGGCATCTACTGACAGGCCAGGGCCTCTGCGGACGGGAGTCAGGGGCCTCCCAAGGCAGCCTCCCGGAGGCTCTCAACATGCCAGTGCCGCTGTCCTCTGAGGCGGCCTTTGTGGGCCAGCTCTTGTCCCCGTGGGGTCCAGTTGACCAGAGAGCAGGCGCAGGAAGAAAGGTGAGTGGCTGTCGTTAAAGCCAGCTCAAGAAGCAGTTTCATGGGCTGGAAGGCAAGGGCATCTGTCCATTCCTCATGGCTAGCTCCCAGGCTCCAAGGTGATGGGGGCTGGGGAGCAGCGCACCCTGCCTTCATGACTGCTGGCGGACAGGGACCAAGAGGAAGCACTGGGTGGTCCGAGGTGGGCTTGCAGAATGGCTGGCACTTACTGGCCACCACAGTCACCACAGATTCTGTACAAGCAAAAGACAAGGCACCAGACTGTGAGTGTTTCTCCTGGGCCCCAAGTCCCGTCCCGGGCACTGACGTCTCCAGCTCCAGGCTCAACCGTAGTGGTAGACGAAGTCGTAGCTGCTGGGCTCCTTGGGCACCGGGGGTGGGGCTTCCGGAATCTGAATGTTCTCCAGGTCCAGGAGCCGCAGCTTCATCTCCATGCTCAGCAGGGTGTCCAGGTCACTCTTGGTCAGCTCGCTGGACATGTCCTTCCCTAGGAGGGCACTGAGGCCGTCGATCCAGATGCAGTACTGTGGGGAGCAAGATGCAAAACATCACTTGATGACCCCTGGTCAGCAACACACGACCCTGCTGAGGCCCCTGTCCTGTGCGGACCCACAGCGGTCTCTCTAGCACAACCAAACGGGAGAAGAGCCGAGGCAAACTGGGAGGTAATCATTCATTCTCGCAAAAGATCCTTCTGTGTTTGACGAGGGATTTAAACTCTTTGAGACAATGTGAACTAAGATCTTAATTAGTGGATACAGCAAATTGAGAACTGAGTGCTGGGCATCAACTACTTGACATCAGCAATGATGGGCACAAATACAAATTGGAGAACAGCTGAGCACAAAAGGAGTCACTGCAGGGCCTCAGTTGTTTTTAAAAAGTAAATTAAAAAAAAAAAAAAAACCCACACAGTCCATAAATACTAAAAAAAAAAATAGCTTCCTGAGAAACTGAACTCAAGGGTCTCATAAGAAGGAGTAAGAGAATTCTCCCCAGCCCTGTAACTCCACCTGTCCTCTCTGTTGCCTTTTTCCTTCCCCCACACCTTTGTCACCTGTCTCTGTACCTGCTAGTTCTTCTCTAGTCCTACTAAAACTCCCCTGGCAGCTCAGGCCCTGCCTAAGCATCTCCTCCTTCAGAAGCCTCCTCTCCCTCGCCCCCCAGTTCCCTCTGATGGCTCCCAGAGCCCGCCAGATGGGTCTGTTCTCCACCGCAGTTTCTCACTGCATATCTAGTATCTCCTGCTACTGCAGGTGAACAGTCAGCCCCAAGGTGGCGGGACCAGCTCCACCTGGACTCCCTGCTCAGGGTCCACTGCAACACAGGCCGAGAGCGCTAAGGAGGGAGGGTCTGTCGATCACTTGGGTACCCAGTCACAGAGGGACTGAAAAGAGATTTTCCTAGTCCCAGGCAAATACATTACCCCACGCTGACCTTGTCTCTCTAAGGACAATCCAGGGCTGTGGCTGCAGAGGACCCGGGAGGGGCCAGCCCAGCATGGCCTGCAGTGTGGCAAGTCCCGGGTGTCACACAGCCTCTTGGTAGCTCATAGCCCTGCCAGTAGGGGGCCCACTGTGCCCCTCCACCTGAAGAGTCAGAGAGGCTCCACTGACCAAGGCAGCACCACCTGCTCACCTCATACTTATTAGGTGCGATGAAGTTTAAGGTCTCATCAGGGTCATACAGGATGGAGAAAGCTAATTCCAGCACCTCCTGAAGGAGAAAGGGTTTCAGTTACTTGGAGCAATCGAGTGGCTTGGGCGCTGTACACCAAGGTCTTGGCCAAAGTCCTAGTTAACTTGGCCACACCACCAGAGTACTGCCTGGGAGGTGATGTCGTCAGGCCCTGGGCACATGCATGCGTGTGGCTGGGGAAGCCCAGGGTTCAATCAGCCGTCCCTCAGCCACTCCCAGCCCGAGCCACCCCTAAGATGTGGTGATACATCCAAGGTTTCTTAGTTGAAGGTATCACCACACGCAGAACCTTTTGTAAGTCAGTGCCCACGATGGTATATCACCTTAAATATAGATCTTAGTAATTAAACTGAAAGCCTTGACAGTTTAAAAAACCACCACAACGAAAACAATTTGCAGCCAAAGCTAGGACAGTCTGAGCATCAACAGTGTAACTGCAATGAACTAAAACAAAGAGAATTTGCTAATACCACCACACACGCAAAATTGGTCGCTGTGGATGCTATCAGGGAACTAGCTCACTGTTCTAAAAGAAGGCACATGAAAGGAAAGAATCAAGCATTGATCCTCCTTTCTTACATAAACCGTGCTACTGGGAAGCCAATCGCAGCCGACAGCAAGTTTCTCCTCAGAGAGTATTCAGCTCATAAATGAAAAGGAATGGCTGCATTAGTGTCACTAGCCGCAACCCGTAATTCACGGCTGGAACCAGGCGCCAGAATTCTGCTCACCTCACAAAAAGAGAGACCACCACACACGGGCCTCTGGACAGAATCTGCTAGGAGGCAGGGCCTGCTAGGAGGCAGTCTCCCCCGCCCCCAAAACAAGGTCAAAGCTGAACTGGATCAGCCTCCAGATCTACAGGTCTGGGACGGAGGAACAAGGGACACTACACCATGGGGAGCCAGTGGGCCAAAGTTGAGGCTCTGGGAAACCTACCAAACAAGCAGCCTGGTCCCTTCAACTAATAAACTGCAAAGAGAGAAAAAAGCCGGAGGAGCCGGAGGGGGAGCTTATGAGTCAAGAAACTTAAAAGATTAACCACAGAGTGTGGACCTTATTTGGATTCGAATTTAACAAACGAAATGGGTGTCGGTGTGTATATGTGTGTGTGCATATATTTATGTTTTTTTATAGAGAAATTACGGTATTTGTAAGACAGTGGAAACCTA